CTGGGCCCGGGGCCCGGAAGGCCTCCTCGCTCTCCGACAGGCCCTTATCCTGCAGCATCTCCTGCGGGCACAGCACACACCAGTCACATGCCCAGGTCCACACTGGCCAGAGGCCCGCAGCCCTCTCGAGCTGAGCGGGGTGGGGGTGGAGGGTCTTGGACAGGGTGGGGAGGCCGCCCTGGCGCACGTGAACCCCGCCCCCTCCTGAGCTGGGGGAGGGGGAATTTGCCAGGACAGGACCCTCGCCTCCTCCCTCTGGGTTCTGGGCCTGGGAGGGTCTGCGTGCGGTGCAAGGTCTGCCTGCCCAGGGTGTGGGGCTGTGCGATGAGTAGGTCTGGGGGGAAGGACCGCCCTCTCGGCATTGCCCCAGCTGTACCCCCAGTCCCTCCCTCCTGCTGGGCTCCAGTGGAGCCTGCGGCCTGGGTCTTTTCCCCTGTTCCCTAATAACTGGAGTCCTGGGGCCAGGAGAGGGGAACAGGCCTGGAGGGCAGGACGCAGGCTCCTGGGGCTCCACACCTGCAGAAAGGCTGGGCAGCCTCTCCTGCCCCTGCTCACCCCTCCGCCTCCTCCCTCTCTCAGACAGCAGTCAGGTAGAGCCTTCCTGAACCAAAGGCGTTTACCCCTGCACATCCCCACTCCCACAGTCACCGTATGTCACCCACGAAGCACACATCCTCACTCCCAGACACAGCCCCCAAGCAGCCACTCTCCTCAGTGAACTCAGCCAGGAGCCTCCCAGCCTTGCCCTCACGGTCACACTCCCCGGCTCACACTTTCAGCTCCAAGGGGCTCTGCTCTGGGGCCAGGGACCCAGACCCCTCCCAGCTAAGGACCAGCCTTGGGGTGGGGTCCTGCCCAGGGCACAGCTGTCCTTCCCCAAGTGTCTGGGACTCTTCACCAGCCTGCCCATGTGCTGCTGGTCCTGGGATATCAGGACGAGAGCCCAGCCGACAAGGACCTGCCTGTCCTGCCTCCATGGTGGGGGCACCCCTGCATTAGCTTCGCTTCTCCTTTCACCTCCCTGCTCTCCTCCCTTCTCTGGGTCTGGGCAAGTTCGGGGGGGGGGGGCATTCTGTGTCTGGCTGCCTTTCTGTACGTATGTCTGTGGTGGAATGCTCCCCCTTTCTCCTCCTACCGCTCCCCGTTTCCCCTGGATCGGGGCATTCCAAGGCCCAGGCCCCTTGCCCCTCCTGCCCACTGGCCTCCCCATCCCAGGGCCTCAGCAGCGGCTTCCAGGACCTCACAAAGCAAATAAGCCAAGTGCAACCGAGGAGATAAAAAGGGGCCGGGGCCAGTCGGGGCTGGGAAAAGCCCGTAAAGATAAGGCTGACAGCCCGGATGGTCCTCAGGCCGCAGGCAGCAGGAAGCAAGGGGCACCCCGCATGGTCAGCACCAGAACCCGCCTTGGGCCACGTGCGCGTCCAGGGCTTGGGCTTAGAAACGCAGGAGCCCCGGGTAAGGGGAACTGCATGGCCAGGGTAGTGGCTCGCTTGGGCACAAGACTCTGGTTTCAACTATATCTGGTGCCAGTTGGGATGGGCGCCCACGATCTGCTGGTCCAAGATGCTGCGGCCCCTAGGCCCTCTGCGGGACACTTGTCACACCCCGAGCCGGCAGCGGCTCACAGCGGCCTCTCTGCTGCAGAGCGGTGCCCAGCAGGTCCTCGGATGCCGATCCGCCCAGACTCGGGACCAGGCGCTCTCCTCCTAGGGGCTCACCTCTGCCTTTTCTCTCGGTCAGGGAGCCAAACCCCACAGCTCGACTCACTGGAGCTCCCTCTAATTTCCTTTCCTTCCGGCCTGGCTGGCCCAGAGCGGCCGTCCCCGTGGTCCCCGCGGCACAGCCGGGTCTGCA